CCTCGTGGCGGATATCTGCTCAAGCGCGCAATGACGCGTGCGGAAACGGATATGACAATTACAAAATTATTGTCAAGAATTCGCAAATGAAGCTATAAAAGCAGGAACCTGAGCAGGAGTTTTGTTATATTTTTTGGCAAGCTCCAAAACTAAAGGATCTTTCATGGGCTCTCCTTCAGGCCAGTTACCCTCAGGTCTGAACGTTTTTCGCCCTGGCGAACCAATTGGCCCATATGACGTGAACGTGATTCCATTTTTCTTGCAGAAGTCAAACAATTCTTTCTGCGGCCAGTAAATATGTGTCTCTACCTGAAAAAAAAAACTGCGTCACTTTTTCAATTCTCAAATGCACGTTCAGATTATTTTTGCCCAAAAAAATCGGTTATATCTAAAATTTTTTTGTTGTATCCAGTCACAAGTGTTACGATGCAAAAAAATTTTCGATCTAATGGCCACTAGAGTTTGAATGCATGCTGCTTCAGCTGATCTGACAATTCACGGCTTGCCGAAAAATGGCCAATGTTAAAATGGACGCAGAGCTCTGACTTTACACAGGAAGAAATGAAGTTTTTCTGGTTTCATACGAGCCTATTTGCATGCATTGGCTCAAAGAACTGTAGATTCCGCAAACTGAATAGGAGCAGACTTATGTGTTAAAAAAATTTAACGAAAGTATACCGAACCTGTAAATTATGCGGTTTCACAGTTGCATGATCGATAATGTGCTGAATTTGCTTCTGATTGAAATTCGACAGTCCGATCGCCTGAAAGTATTTCTTACAAGCAGCAGCATCCGCCTGCGTATCCCTACGGAATTATGTAAACGTAGCGAGTTTGGATCGAGGAGGACGCAAAATTCGCAAGCTATAAAATTAACAGCGAAAAGCATCATAACGATGAAATAGCACCTACTGAAATATCAAAGTACCACTATCCAGAAGACTTTCAATCCTTGGACTGCTTACTATCAGTGGTTTGTCAAAACAAAATCGCGCAGCAGTCTGCGATAAAGCTTGAGATGTGCCTCAAGTTCAGCAATTATTGGAGGAAATCGAAACGAACTTTTAATTTCCCATCCTTGTGGAGTTTTTCTAGAGCTTTCCAGGTATCCACATGATCGACCGGATCCGGCACAAGCTGCCCGTTCTCGATAAGTGATTTATAGCCTGTTGCTGGTGTGCCACCTGGTTGCGGCTAAAAACAGGATAAATTTTTCATCCAGACTTGAGATCATGCAGTCTGCCTCAAACCACACTGTTCTCTAGCACGAAATAAACTTCTCGCGAACAGAAGTCTGAAAATACCTTGCATGGGCATGGGACGTGAATGAGATACAAATCGATGTAATCGATTTGCAGATC